TCTCTCTCTCTCTCTCTCTCTCTCTCTCTCTCTCTCTCTCTCTCTCTCTCTCTCTCTCTCTCTCTCTCTCTCTCTCTCTCTCCACACGCTTCTTGTCTTTTATTTGATTCATTTCAAATTGAACCGCAAATGTGTTATCAAGTAAAATATATTTTGTTTTTTGTTTTTCCACTACTAACATGTAATATATATAAATTTATATCTCAAAATAACAACAATCCCATACTTTTATAAATCTACAGATATTCTAGATTTATGAAAAGGTCGAGACTAATCTTCAAAAAGAAGTGCATTCCACAAATATATTCTTTCTTCATATATTTAACCATAAGCAGGTTTATATCCATGTAAGTGTTCAGAATAATATGATTTTAGTTTCACGCAGCAAGTGAATCAAACTTGAAACATGTTGGTGTCACAAACCCTTCCTCTTACCACCTGGCCATAAGGTCGTGGGCAACACCAATGATGTTACAAGTACAAACGATTAAATTACATTTTCTGGTTCAATATGTGAAGTATTCCTATGGTTTAACTCACATTGAACACACTCATCAAAAAAAAAAAAGAGAACATACAAGTTTGGTTACCCAATGTTCACCCCATCTCTAAATGTGTGGGAGAGCTATATATATTCACTGGGGTTTGATTAGTCAATGATTCACTATAATGCTCTAAACCGAGCATTGGAGATATAACAATGATGCCTTAACTTCTTATTTAATGATCAGACCACTGGTTCTCTTGACGTTATATTGGGGGTCCATGGTAGATATGTCGATCTTGCCAGCATCAAGGGAAGCATCACCCAGATGAAAGTCTAGTGCCAAGAGAACACTCCATATTTTGAGTATGAGGTAGGTAGCTGAAAGTTTGTAAGGAAGGGTTAGGAATGGTCGAGGGAGATTTTGACTCAATCCTCGCCGGTCTAAAGCGCGACTGCATGATTTCTCCCCTCTTTGTTCGTTCTGAGGAACATACCTTTGGGAGGAAGATGCTTCAAGATGTTGTTGGGGACAGCGAGACCTTCGAGACTCATACCAATGATGTTGGGACAGACGAGGTTAAGATAATGCCTGCCGAAAATGATTACGATTGTGGGATTGTTTAGAGGTTTTAAATTTTAATGTTTGTGTTTATTATGTCCCCTGTAATGCCGTGTTTTGTTTCTATTTTTCTTGAAATGCTTGTGGCATTTGAATCTTGGCCCCTTTTGGGCCGTCTTAGTATCATTCCGAATTTCAATAAAAATTGTTTTATGTTAAAGTTTTATGAGTAGTACAGCTACACGGGAGATAAAGAGTGTAAGTTGTTGTCTTATTTTGATCACTCGGAGGATCACATTACCTAGCGTTGTATAAGATGAGACTCTACAAAGGTTTTATGTATGGTCACATAAACGTCTAAGTATTGACAAACAAACATATTTTTGAAATCTCGTATTAGTATATTGATACTATGCATGGAGATGTTCGAGACCAGTGTAATGAGCTAGGATTATTCGTAGGTCTTTTTCGATTTCAGGTTTACTATGACTACTCAACAATTTGTTCTGAATCTGTTCTAGATTTTGGAGTCTACCATAAGTTCTTGGTTTATATAATTTTTTCGTAGAATAGAACACTTCTCCAAGATAAACCTGGAAGATATTAACCAAAGTTTTAGATTTTTTATAGCATGTTATTTTTCTCGTATTGAATACTCGAGAACCTATCTCTATGAAATAAGAAGGGGAAGTATGTTTATAATGTTGTAGTTTTTTTATATTTTTTTTTTATAATGTTGTAGTTTATCTGTTGTACGCAGCCGAACAACATACAGTGAAACCTCTATAAATTAATAATGTTGGGACTACACCAAAATTTTATTTTTTATTAATTTAGAGAGATATTAATTTATATATATATATTAACTGAACCAAAAATTCAATTTGGAACTATAAAATTATATTAATTTATAGAGATATTTAATGTATATTAATTTATCGAGTATTAATTTATAAAAGTTCTACTGTATATCAAAGTTGCTTTCACCCTTTTTCAAATTTTATGATCTTCTACGATTATACGGCTGGTTATGCATTTCAATTGAACACGTTTTTCAAAACAAAACTCTTTCAACTACAGTTGAGATAGCTGGCGTGCTCGTCCACGAGTTGATTTTTGTGCACTTCTCTCGTTTATCATTTTTTCATCGATTTGGTTAAACTCTCAAATATTTTCGTGGAACCTCTTCTGCAGCCGAGTTAAGAGAATCATAAATGACAATCATTTTCTGCAAAATCTAGTCAGCCACACTTACATTTTATGTATTATATGATAACAAATCTCGGGAAAAAACTAATCCCAGCATCTTATATATTAAAACAGAAGTCATGACTTGATTTCATGTGTGATTTTTTTAAAAATGGACTATTACTAGAAAGTTATGTTACATTAACTCTAATAATCTTATCATTATTATATCTTATAATAGGCTTAATAATTTGGTTTGGGTAAATTACCCCACACTTTCCAACTTAGTCACGCAAAATATGTCAATAAATATAAGTTTAGGAATCTTCTATTATTTATAAGGAAATATGTCAATAATAGTTAAATTCATCCACAATATATTAACAAAAATCACAGATTAGTAATATGAAATATTTATATACCCTAACAAAATTTACACGCTATATATATTAGATAAATTTATTTTGATGTAAATTTTTAAAATTATATTGTTTTAAAAAACAAATTGTTTAAAAAATTATTTTTAATAAAATTCTTTATAATATTAATTTATGAAGCTATAAGTTTAGTTTTTAGCAAAAAAAAATTTGAAGTTTATATTATCTTTGCAAATTAAATTACACTAATATTTAATTAAGCTCTATTTATATTACTTTATCTAAAAATGAAATACTAATCTAAAAACAATAAAATATAGAAGAAGAAACAAACGCATGTTTGAAAAACATATATAATATAGAAAATTTGAAACAATTTATTTGATTAAAATATTTATTATATAATATTATTTTGTTTGAAAAATATTTACTATACATATCGTAAATATGTGATTACTATAATATATACCAATTTACAAGTGAAAAACAAAATGTTTATATAACTAAATATAAACGAAAATAAACACCCGCGCGGTTGCGCGGGTCAAAATCTAGTATTTATTTAAATTTAACTTTTTGTTTGGCGATGTAATAGAAAAATAATATTTGCAATGTGAATCCTTTTTTTTGGTCAAAGCAAAATAATATAAGAGGCAATCATATTTGCAATGTGAATCCAAAAATAAAAAGAATCTGTGCATAAGTTTGAAACACATTTTTTCTGAAAACTTAAAAAGATAATTCATAAACAAACTAATTTATCTAAAATTAAAAAAAAATTAATTTTGTAATAAATATGATTTGTTTTATTTTATTTATAATAACAATTTTATGATACTATTAAAATATATCAAACAATAAGATTACAGTAATAAACTTCTTGAAATACATCATTAATAGAACTGTTTTTATAGAAAATTT